GTGTCTCTGAGGTTTCCGCTCTTTTGCTGATTTCCTCAATCAATACAGATTAAACATTCCACAGCGCTGGGACAACAGACATTGCATTGTCATTGCATTGCATTCATACATATTAAAGAACCATATGCAAATAATTTTTGAGGTCTTAAAAAACAAGAGATATACTTTTCAAGTATTGTGACAATTCCCGCTTGCCAAATTGTGACTGGATCATGATCATAGTTAATTTGATGAACTACAACTGAACTGCAATTTACAACATTATTCCCTGTAATCCAGAGCCTCAGGTAAACGGTCTGGAGTGATATCTGGTTCATGAAGGAATCATTCTTTTGAACCGGTTCGTTTTGATGCATTGTGTTTTAAAATGTGTTCAGATTTTAAAAGTTGTGTGGTGTATTCCAGGCTAAAGGAGAATTGATGCCACTTGGTTTGATATATTACCTAGGTTAGTTTTTATATATATATATATACTTTTTGTTAAATTTTAGTAAGGACTGTAGTAGCTTTTTCCAGTAACAAGCTGTTTCTTCTTTCAGTGTGCAGCTCTGTAGCTTGACAAAAACAGTTTTTGTCACATATTTTGTCACACATGCTGTATATTGGTCATGCAGCCTTAAGGGCCATTCACACAGAATGTATTTTTCTTTTCTAAAAGGCAAGATGCAGGGTAATGGAATGAGAAAAAAAACTCTGGATCTAAAGGCATATTGTTTAAAAGTTGAACTTTTTTTAACTTGAGCAATGCGTGTCATATGTACATTGTAAAACATTTCAGGCCAAAGATCTAATTTAGCCTAATTCCATTTCACTAAAATGAATTGTATCAGTTGTGACAACAATCTGTTAACCTTTGCACATTTCTAAATTATATTTTGAGCCAAAGAAAAAAGTTTTGTTTGCCAAACTGTTGTTGAATGTATTTAAAACTGAAACAGGCTTAAAACAATACAGAACATGTTGAGACACGTCGACATCACTTTATTAGTACATCATCTTCAACAAAGGATATTTGGTAAAAATACCTTTTTAAAATAAAGCATAAGCTATCCTGATGTAGTGAAAAAAAACTTGTGGCACAGTATAGGTTTATCAATGACAATGAGAGATTTTGCTTTACAGTTTATATCGCAGTATTGAAAATGTATCCATGCAGGTTTCAGTGAGCAAGACTACTTAAAGTTCTTGACATGAGTGATGAACATATGAATGTTCAATAAATGAGAAAATAACAAGCTTAACATGCCTGATACTACAAGGGTTATTAAAAGATAAAAAGCTTTGAAAAGAGGCAGACACGACTATGTCACTGTGTGAAAACATGTACTCAAATGCAATGCACGATTTATACCTGGTCCTAAACCAAAACCATCGGAGGGTAATTTCTGTGCTCAATACTCGTAATGTCTTGAGTGGTGAATATCGGTCTTCTGTGGGGAATAATGTTTGTTTTATGTCTTGGCTCTGCTGTCTCTCTTGCACATCCGCATTTGAATTCATCATACCACGTTTTTCTCAGATGCATACATATACAGTTTTTTGTTCAGCAAAAAACAGTTTTTCCTTCTTGACTTTGACTGAGGGCAGTTAAATATGTTTGTGTATATATCTGTAATTTTAATGAAGACCTAGTATGATATAATTATCACAATGCATCCTTTTGTTTGGGGATAATTAATTGGATTCAGCCAGTATTTAATGATCAATTTTCCTAATATAATTTTGAAAAAGATGTGAGATACGAGTGCAATGGTCAAACACATTTATCTAGCATGTACACATTAAAAAAAAAACAATGGGAAAGCAATGTAATTTAATGCAAATGTATTCTGTAAATGCCAGTAAAATTTCCTTTCTTTTGTATGCAACGTTGGAAGATGGATTCATTTTAGTAAATTGGTTTGAGTACATGTAATTTGTAACTAACAGAGACCCATTTTGTTTGTTATATTGCAAAGAAAGAAAGAGAAAGACTTAGTGGCCACTCAGACTGCAGCATGGATTTCTCTGAACTCTTGGCTTATGTTCGATGATATTGAAATAAAACTTCATTTTATTCTAGACGAGTGTGTTATGTAATCCTGACAGTCATATTTCAAGGACATATAAGGACTGCTTACCTCATTTCAGAGAGACAATTTTTCTGCCACCCCTCCTCTTCCTCCACATCCCCTGCTTCATTTCTTAGCACCTCTAATATTAAATTCATGTCTATTTATATTTCTTTCTTTACTCTAGTAGTCTGGAGTCCTGCCATAATGGACAGCACACCAAATGAACCTACTGTATCTTACTCTAGGATTATATCAACTTATGAAACAAACAATATATTGTCACAGGAAATCTAAGTGAAAGATCTAAGTAATGGTCATAAAGTTCACACTGTCTTGTTTGATTTATACTCATTTGTTTCTGTAAACAACAAATTCACTAGACGTGACAGAAAAGTTGCAGCAAAATCAACACAGTGTTATCACTATATAATATACAGTAGCAAAGCATTATAAATCTTTTGCAAACTAACTAATTAATACTTTATAAACTGTAGTCAATATATTAATAGACTGTATACAAATAGTGAGTTTTTTTATTCATTGTCACAGTAATTATCATAGTGTTATTTAGGGCTGTGTATCACCAGCAAAGTCACGATACGATACATATGCCACGATACGATACATATCACGGTAGGGGAGTGCACTAAATTTCACCTCATATGTTTCATGTTTACATTGTGCACTCCCCACCAGGTACAATATTCTGATTGTTTGCATCTTGTTTTTAAGCCCATAAATAATAATGTACTCATTCTAATAAATTTATATTGTAATGTACTCATTCTAATATATAAAAAAATCATATTTACATTGCTGGTAGGTTATCATTGCACAAATTAACACACTCTCTACGTAAAAAAAAAAAATAGAAGAGTTCTAATCTCAACTAATGCGCTGTCTTCACTGTATCTAACGCACACACGTTCAGTCACTCACACAGATCATGCTGTGCGCGCACAGACATTCAGGAACAAACTTTTTAGCGCTGCCCCACATTTTATCAATAAAATAACTTAATCGCTCAAGAGCTACATTATCTTTCTCAACAAGGAGCTGGTAACATCAGTGTTTCTAAAGCAATTAAAGCCACAGCTTCACTGTTAATAGAGAAACGCGGCAAAACGGTGGTAATTCATACATACACAGCCTCTCTCTCTCTCTCTCTCATAAATGAACACTTGATAAATTACACTTTTCTGAGAATAGAATATTGAAGTGGAGATCTCTAAACTGCAAGCTTACCAGTGTTTTCAGAAAGCAAGTGCGTTTATCCAGAGTGGAGAGAGAGCGCGTGCATATGGTTGCCAGGTTGACAAAGATAAGTAGCACACTTACCAGATATTTCCGTATTGCGCAAATGAGAAGCTCTGTTTCAGGGATTACGTCTCTTTATATCAGGCAACCCAGATGTGTTCCTCTGCGGCCAGATTAAACCTTTAGAAACCTCGCACTTTTCTACTCAATTTTAAACGCTATTCTTGTATTCAAAATAAGCATGGTCCACTGTTGCACACGTGCCACAATATACTCGTATCTTCAAATCTCTGTGACGATACATCGTCGTATCGATGTATCGAACACAGCACTAGTGTTATTGTTTAATAAGCTCATATGTATAGAATTTTATATTTTTTATGCTTTGTTAACAACTTATTAACCATAAAGAGTTCTCACTTTAGGTCACAGATCATCAGAAAAATGTCATTAGTTAAGTGCTTTAAACCAATCTTTATCGGACATTAATTGCATTCATATTCAGTGTTTCTTAAAATGTTGACAAAATATATTAAGCACGCACACATACCCACATAACTTCGGATTTCTGTTATGTTTTAGACCGGTAGAGCTTTATAGGTCATGAACAACAGAAGTGTCAAACGCTCTGTGGATGAACTGACTCTTTTATCGGTTTATCGGCTCTTTATCTCCAATTCCCTGCCGTTCATTAGTCTGTAATGTGTGGCGGGAAGTTAACTCTTCCTCATGCCTGCAGTCACAATAACAGCCTTCAGCCTACAATTACATAGTCAGTGTCAATCTTGAGGGAAAACACTGCGTCGGAAGAAAATTGCATTAGAGTTTATAGGTACAAGAGGCATTTTTCTTTTCAATCTAATATCTAAATTGAATGTAGATGAAAACTAGAAACGAATGCATGTGGCAGAAAGGTTTTAAATGTCGTTGCTAATCATTATTGATCCACCAATGATTAGAAACAGCATCTGTGAGATCTACGTCATTGGTAACCTAAAGAAATGAAGTTAACTCTTCCTCATGCCTGCAGTCACAATAACAGCCTTCAGCCTACAATTACATAGTCAGTGTCAATCTTGAGGGAAAACACTGCGTCGGAAGAAAATTGCATTAGAGTTTATAGGTACAAGAGGCATTTTTCTGCCTCTACTGTGTACTAGAATATGATTTTCACAATGCAATCTAATATCTAAATTGAATGTAGATGAAAACTAGAAACGAATGCATGTGGCAGAAAGGTTTTAAATGTCATTGCTAATCATTATTGATCCACCAATGATTAGAAACAGCATCTGTGAGATCTACGTCATTGGTAACCTAAAGAAATTATCTTTTCATGAGGACGAATTGTCTTTTTCGGTAACACTGTGTGGGCAATGTGCTTTCTATTCCTGGCTAGTGCTTTTACGCCGTAGTTTCCATGGGGATTGAGGTGGCGAAAGCTTTCTTAAATGTCAGCATTTAATAATTAGCCAATCAAACTTACTTTAAATGCATTAAATGTGCAATTAAAAGCATTCCTTCACTCATAATGATGCACCTGTAATGTCTTCTGGAACTGAAATGTCTTATCGTCTATTGTTAATCATGTTGAATCGCCTTCAAGGCTGTGACACTTATCAGTGTTTTCTTCGTTCCATACGATCAAATGATTTTCACTAAGTCTGTGTCTTCTCTCTGTTCCCACAGCAACGGGTTGGCGAAGAGGATTGCTCTCATCAGCTTCCTGTCACTGGTCATGCTCATGAGCGTCCTGGGCAACCTGCTGGTTATGGTGGCCGTCTGCAAAGACCGGCAGCTCAGGTCAGAAATGGCCCGTCTCCACCCACCGCTCTCCTCTTATCTGTCAGCCCAGGGGAAAACAGCCCTTTTTAGCATTTCATTTGTGCAGCTCGAGTGAACTGACATGACTTCAAGGAAATTCTTACTGGATGGATATTTTCTGCTTTTCCAGAGTTTAAACGTTAGCTGAGTGGCACAAGCCGTTCTTGTTATGCGGTATCAACTCAAATAACTGAATTCAAGTGCTTCTATTATAAACTATAGCAAAGATCAAGTTTAGACTTTATTCAAAATGAACAGGATTAAAAATAAAGAGCTAAAATTACTCCGTGCTCAGTGAGGGATTGGGTTCGCTTACATATATGAACAGATTTTCTTGTAATTTTGTCAAACAGATGGAATGTTTTGTTTTAATTAGGATGTTTATAAACCAGCGAATGCCTCAAACCTGACATAATTCATTAAATCCATACCGTTTCCTGACTAAAAGTGATATCACGTCCTAGAGGAGGATATCTTTGTTGGTTAAAGGATTTTACGAAAGACTAATAAGATGGAAAGTGACCTTTGGAAAAAAATATACAGTACATTGTAGGGCTGGGTAAAAAATATTGATATCTTGATATTAATCGATTCTCATTTTTGCGGAATGATATTGATTCTTAAATCCCAAGAATCGATTAGTCTAGCCTGTTTTCAGTTAATGGACGGTACAATGAAGGGCACTTCCCATCCAATATATCGCAATAAGCATTGTACTTTTCATATGAAACAAAGTCTCAGATTTCTAATTCTGTCCATTGTATTGCAGTATTCAAACAATAAATCCCGTTTTGGCACTGTTTAATGTGAAGTGACAGATCGCTGTAGCGCCTCAGATCAACAGACGCGGTAGAACTGATCATCTCCTCCACATTAATACCAGTTTCAGCACAAAATAAACATGACTAAACATCCGAAGGTAAGTTAAAAGAAAGACTTCAACTTTACAATCCGTATCCTGTCTCATGTAATTTCTCAATCAGTGTTTCAGCTGCGCAAAGACGTCAATGTAACGTCTTGTAAACAATGTCAGGTAGCGCCACATTGTCATTTACCTCAGAAAAACATATTCGGTGACCATAAACTCATTAGTCAGATAGAAAAGTAAATGGTAGAGAGGGGCATATTCAATAATTCAATAACATATTCATTATAAAATTTTACTGTTCTTCAATGTTTAATTTATGTTTGAATAAATCCATCAAGTTTTTATGACAGCCACCATTGTTTATATAAAAAAACGAATTGAAGTAGAAATATTATTATGTAATTGTAACTTTATTTTTAAATTGTAGTTTTTTTATTTAAAAAATTTAATTAAATGTAATTTTAACAAATCAGTCAATTTTAACCTTTAATATTATAGTAATGTAGTACCGACTGACTCATTTATATTTTACAGCATTAGTTGAGAGATTTTTTTTCCTTGAGAAAATTTGGCATGTACTGTACCTGATATATATCCGAAATAATCGATATTGAACTGAATCGAATCGCAAGCTTGTGAATGAGAATCGAATCGTGAAATTTGTGTCAAAACCCAGCTTTACAGTAGTACATTGCAGTCAATGTACTGTTTTTTTTTCAACGTTCGCTAAAAATTGTTTTAATAGATTTCTTCTATTTTTAATCACAATTTATGATTTTTCATCAAATTTTTTGTGCACTACGGAACCCCTAAAAAATATATATTTCAATGTTTTCTCTCGCAATTATATCATTGGGTAATCATACTGTATATAAATTGCGAGCATCAGGGAGCCATTATTAATATGTGGGGCACTGAAATCGCTTTTGAATGTGCACTCGCTTTTTACTTTAACTTTCGAGATTCTCGAGCACACATACTGTGAGTAAACTACAGAGGGGCAGTAACTTTTTTACCTACTACACATTTTCCAAGATTAGGGGCCCTATTTTAACGATCTAAGCGCATAATCTAAAGCGCACGGCGCAGGTCCACTAGGTCCACTTATTTGGTGTAATGAAATGTGTTTATGTGGTTTAACACATTATTTTCCACATACTGTACATTATTGTTTCTCCTCTGCCTTTCTGAAACGCGTCGATTTTTACAAAGCTCATCGGTCCGAAAAGCGAGGTGTGCTGTGATTGCACTTTATAGAAACAGACACCGGCATTGTAGGCTACTCTCACAGGAAACAGTCCTCAACCTCCGCAAAATGTGCATCACACATCTGAATATTTGGGTTGAACTGTTCTGGAACAGTGTTGTAAATACAACTGATAAATACAACTGAACGGCCGGTGGGCTTGCAGCAACCACATGTGATGACCCCAGGCTGGACTCTGCTTCGTCCACGGTGAAAGCCGATTCGGCGATCCACAGCGCAAAGTTGATGTATACCAGCACGGATCAGCTCTAGGCATGACAAAGCGGATATCATCCTCTTTTGGAAGGCCAAACAAAGTGGTTTCACTTTCACAATGAAACACACAGCGTCTCCCCAACATGTCCGCGGCGGCAACAGCGAGAATAAAAGTTACGCCTTCTTTCTTTGCGTGAACATTTAGGCGGTGTTATGCAAATCTTCCCACATCGTGATGTAGACATGTGGGGGCGTGTTAGAACGAGCCGTTTTAGGTAGGCGTAGTTGACTCTTAACTTTTATAAAGAATATCTCTTTGGATTTGAGACTTTAGTCTTTGCAACTTTACAGATCTTCTTTATGCACCAAGAGCTTGTAACACTCCAAAGAGAAAGGAAAAATTGAAATTGCATCATATGACCCCTTTAATGAGTAATGAGTGTGTTTTGGGCATAACGTACAATAAACCAATCAGAGTCTCATCTCCCATTCCTTTAAGAGCCAGTTGCGCTCGTGCCATGGTGGATTTGCTATTTACATGCCGGAATTTGCAAGCACAAAGACAGAACGCGTCTCCAGAGATGAAACGGAGCTGCTCGTGCGCAAGCAAATAGGTAGCCTAATTGTAATACATGCAATGACTATCCATTATGACATGTAGGCATTTTTATATTTATGTAGCCTACACAATAATAATCTTTTACATTGCAGTCCTTTAATTTTTAATATTTGTCATGTTCGTGTGCTGCTGTGCGTCCATGTGTGTGTAATAAGCAGAGTGTATGCGCGCTGTGGACCCGCCTATACTAACGCGCTCTTTAAATAACAAAAAAACTACTGCTAGATGTTTGTCAGTGGTGTTTAGGATCTGCAAATCATTTGCCATCATCCTAGTCATCACTCCTTACACTGTTTATGTGGTAAGTGAAATTCTATGTAACAGGCTACCGCTAGCAAGCTGCTAACCATGTCCCTTTAGTGGCTCCATAGAATGATTTGTGAATCGATGCGAATCGCTAGAAGACTGAATCGCGATTCAAATGTGAATAGATTTTTTTCCCCCACCCCTACTGTAGGTTTCTTTCATCCCTCAAGACTGGAGGAACCAGTATGTTTTTTCTTCATGAAGTCTCTAAAGTAATGAGAAAAATGATCTACATTCATCCAGGTTACCTAGAAACTCTTTGTAGTGTCAAAGAGGGAGTCATGCTCTGAACGTTATGTCATGATGGCAGTGATAAATGTCTTAAAATAGGCTGTCTGATCACTCCTCCGGCATGTGATCTTGTCTTTGACACACAGGTTAATGGTTAATTGTTAAGATCAAGTGTACAAGCTCATCATTGTTTAACAGTGTCTCTGGCAACAGTGGGCGTTTTTTTTTTTATTAGTTTAGCAGTTCAGCAGCTCATAAACACTTATACATAGCATCTTTGGGATTCAATTCAGTGGGTAATTAGCAGCTTGTTAATTACTCCTTTGGAGTCCTGCTGGGTTCTTGGAAAACTATGCAATTGTTTTTGCGGGGGTAAATAATTTTTAATATAAATATAAGTAAAAAGGCTTATATGCAATGTTAGGGGTCAGTAAGATTTATTATTATTATTATTATTACTACTATTAATTTATTTTAATTTTTAAAAGAAATAAATTATTTTATTCAGCTTAATTGATCAAAAGTGAAAGTAAAAACATATATGATGTTAGAAATACTTCCATTTTTTTTTTTAAATTGTTCTTTTAAACTTTCTATTTATCAAAACAGCTTCCAAAAAAAATCTTTCCTAAGCAGAAAATCAGCATATTAGAATGATTCCTGGAGGATCATGTGACACTGAAGACTGGAGTAATGATGCTGAAAATTCAGCTTTGCGTCACAGGAATAAATTCCATTTAAAACATCATTAAATAGGAAACAGCTATTTTAAATCATAATAATATTTCACTGTTTTTACTGTATTTTTGATCAAATGAAAGCAGCCTTGGTTAGAGTAAGAGGCTTCTTTCAAACGAATTAAAAATCTTGCCAACCCCCTCACTTTTGAACAGTGATGTTCCTTTCATATGTTTGTTTGTTTGTATGTTTGTTTCATATGTTGCATAATGGCAGATTTTATGGCAACTTGACATTTAAGTTATTGCACCTTATTTTCTATCCTATGAGCACTATTTTACTGTGAAGGAGAGAAGAAAGCATTTAGGGAGCTCTGTAAATGCTGTTTGTTTCTTATGTCTCTCAAGCCTGGAGGTAGCGCTAGGCTTCTTATCTCCTCAAACATCATGCCACACATCACTTCATTCATTCCGTCCTCTTTTTCACATACTATACTTCCCTCTGATTTATAAATTGCTTATCCTGTCTCATACCACCCTGATTCTTTCACTCAAAGGGCATCTTTCCACTCCGCCACCTATATAATGCTTATCTGATAATAGAAGTCATGGAAAAAATAATCTACATTTCTCAATGTCGCTAAGAAGACCCAAAAAGCGAGTTACACGCCAAATGTTATGTCACGACGGTAATGAAAAACGCCTTTAAAATAGGCTGCCCTCCATAGGGTCAAATGGAACATCTGGTGGTATTTTGCTTTAATGATGCATCCAAAAGGGATTTGTAAATACTGACACACTATCTGATGGCGTAATTATCAGATGCCTGTTGCTTTTCATCCTTCAGAATTGGCGCCAAATGTGCATGAAAGCCAATCAGTGCTCTCTCTGCAATCTTTATGTATATTGTTGACAGGCAGCTGGTATGCGGATCTATGCCGTTACGTGACAGAATAATTTGAGCCTATTAATGCTTCTCAGTGAGCTATATATAGATCTGTGTGTTCAGAAGCTCAAGCGAGAGTTTTATTACTCATTAATAGGGTGCCCAGAGCTCTGGAGAGTCTCAAGAAGAGCGAACATTATGACAACCTATCAACAACATACTGTACCACACACATAGCACATACACCTTCAACAGATATCTTATTACTGTTTTCTCCAAGTAACTGCTTTGATAGTGATTACGAATTTCTGCTCATCAACAACACATCTTATATGGTTGCTTTGTTTACATTCATTATTGAATTTAAAGGGGTAGTTCATCTACAAATGGACAACTTTTATGATACATCCATAGTGATTTTGTGCCCACTTTCCTATACTTCTTCCCCTAAAATTTCCAAGAAGAGAACATAAAGAACATTTGAGTCATTCTAATTCAGGGAACAATTCAAGCCCATATGTTGAAGTCCATACTATTCATATGTTTTGATCATTATATTTTGTGCGTTCCTATATTTTGTGCACCCTGTTTTTCAGTTTGCTTGAAATTGCCTTTAAATTGTTTTTTTTTAAATTGCAGTTTTTGCTATGTCCGCTTTTTAATTGATGAGTCTTGAGTTCAAATTAATAAGATATTTAAATTAAATATCAATATTTAAATTCAAAATCTCATTTAATAATACATTTAAATTAAATGTATAATTTATATCTATATGACAAATTTATATATCGAAATACCTTAAAAATTGATTTTTTTTTAAAGCAGTACTATGTAACTTTTTCTGTGTTCAAAATTTTGCAAGATGTATATAATAAGCGAGTACATCATGAATGAATCTTCCAAACCGCATTTTTGTCTTATTCCGAATCACTCCGGTACACTTATAATAAGTACTTATATTTGGACTATTGTAGCCTGGTCAGGTCGTCACCGCTGCGGAGGAACACATACCTGCGTGAATCGCCAGAGACATAAACTTAGAGAAGTAGCTCCGGTTGGAATGTTCTTCCGCGGGATGTGTGCAGCTCTGTTTATTAACCGCTACAGCATCAAAAGTTACATAGTGCTGCTTTAAATTAAATTTTCTTCCAAATAAGAAAGTATTTCGTCACTGTTTTTTTTAAATACGGAAAAAATATCCCTGTATGGGTTTTTGTTTATATATTTATAATACATGATATGTGTAACACAGTTCGTAGTTCGGGAAGAAGGAGGCGGGAACCGGCGAACATTTAAACAAAACTTTAATAATAAAATAAACACAAAACAGGGAGACAGCCCCTCACGGACGACTGCCGCGCACAAACAGAACCAAAACACAAAATAAAATCCAGGCCTGGTCCTCTCTCTTCCAACACTGTCGTCACTCCTCCTTTTATCCTTCCAGAGCTCCTCCGTGGGACTCGAGACCGGTGAGTGGCGCAGGTGTCGTGCATTATCACTTACTCCACCGGCCTCGCTCCGTTCCCACGGCTCTCAGCCCCGCCCCTCTCGTCACAATATGGTTTAGTAATATCACACAAGCAAAAGTGCTGTTTTCCCAAATATCAGCATATGAGCGCAATCTCAAATGTGATATTGCTTTTATACAGCAGTTCAACAAACAAGAAATTAATACTGAGTGAGTTACATTTGTAGACACAATTTTGTCTGTTTTTTTCTGTTTTGCCAATGAAAATATTTGTAATCAAAGCCAGAGCAGAACATCTCAGTGCATCTCATTGCAACACTGTGGTGTTTCCTTTCTGAATGAATCTATTTTTGAATTAATCATTTGAGTCAGTGATTCTATAATCCATTCGTAAGAACAGTCGCTTGCTCATTTCTATATGAATCAGCCATTTTGAACAAATTGTTTGAATGAATGATTCAATAGTTTTATTGATAGATGATAGCTTTATTAATTGAAACCAATAGTGAGTTCCCAGTTTTACTGAGAACTCATACTGTATTGTTTTTACACTTTTTTTCTGCTGTGAAGTGTAGCTAAGTTATACAATAGCTTTTTTTCAGCTGAATTCATAAAAAAGAAGAAATTAACATATGCTTTTTGTTTCTCCTGCAGGAAAATCAAAACCAACTACTTCATCGTCTCGCTGGCATTTGCTGACCTTCTGGTGTCAGTGCTGGTGATGCCATTTGGTGCCATAGAACTGATCCATCAGAACTGGATCTACGGAGAGACCTTCTGCCTGGTCCGCACCTCTCTGGACGTGCTGCTGACCACCGCCTCCATCTTACACCTGTGCTGCATCTCTCTCGACAGGTAAAAACAAACACCCTTTCATTTCAGGACTCTCCTAAGGCGTCTTGGTTGCGAATGAATCAAGTGCTATTAATTGAAATTCCATGAACGTATAGTCTTGACATATGACTGCGGATGCTGTTGTCATGGCAGCCGTAAATTGTTTCGCTACAGAGGACTAGCACTTGAGAGTTTCTTCTGCGGACTGTGTAGGGATGCTGTTTCCATGGCGATCTATGTGCGGCCACACAAAGTCCCTTGCCAAGTAAATCGTCCACCAACACTGTGATTATGAACCTAATAAACTCTTAAAGTCGAGCAACAGGCAAACGGTTCAAAATATGTTAATTGTAAAAGACTGAGAAACATCTTGTTGCTGGACAACTTAGAATTTGTAAATAGAAGCGGTTTCAGACTAGACGAGCACTCTTTGTTATAATCAGTGTTGACAGTGCTGCATATTCTTGTGGAAATTGTCATTTATTTTTTCAGAATACTTTGATTAATAAAGCGTTTAAGAGAACATCATTTATTTGAAATACAAACCTTGATATTTTTGATCAATTTAATGCATCCTTGTATGTATATATATATATATATATATATATATACACACATACAC